ACATCACGCCCGGTACCAAAGCGATGCACGCAACCAAGCCCAGGATCAAAGGGCAAGACGTACCCTCCACCCGCCATGAGAACAAAGCAAATTACATTGCCCAACATCAGCGGAGCCAGGAAGCACCATCATCCGATAGAAACGAGGGGAAGACGAGACTATTTCAAATAATAATCTCATCGACTACAATCTGATGTCATCCAGAGAACCAAAAATGGGCGGAATCACTAACCCCTGCTCTGGCAGTTGAATCAGGTTTAGATGCCTAAGTTGACTGTCCTCTGCACTGACTGACTGTCCTCTGCACTGACTGACTGTCCTCTGCACTGACTGACTGTCCTCTGCACTGACTGACTGTCCTCTGCACTGACTGACTGTCCTCTGCACTGACTGACTGTCCTCTGCACTGACTGACTGTCCTCTGCACTGACTGACTGTCCTCTGCATTGACTGACTGTCCTCTGCACTGACTGACTGTCCTCTGCATTGAGTAACTACCTAGCATTTCACTTTCCGCCCGTCCTTCGATTCTCTCCAGTTTCTATATAACTTCCTATGATCTCAACCCGTTTGCCGCCTTTGCATCCATTTTTGATTTTGGGCTTTTCAGTGAATCATAGTTACACTGTTGGTATATTTGGAGAGCCCAATGTTCTTAATACCTGTATTTCTACCTTCTGGCTATCTCTTCAACAGAGTCAAAGGCCAACCAGGAATTCTGGCAAATGAAAACCTGGGGACCAGTGAGCCAGGAAGCCAGAGGTGACTCATTCGTGAAATAAGTAATATCCATGTAAAATATAACAGATTATTTATAAGACAACCAATTCTCAGAATAATCCACCTGGCTGAATGTTAGAATCAAATCTGTTGTACCTATTTTTTTTCTGTTAAAACACAAATGAAGACCAGCTTTGAAAATTCTCTGAACAGACAAAACCAGTTTAATCATACAAAGTTTGATTTTGTTTATTTTGCAAGACTAACTGGACCGGAGTCATTTCTTGCTTATGCCTCTGGAAATTATAAGCAACACTTGAATTGTTTCCCAAGACTGAGATGCAGTAACTACTGAACAAGTCTTTATCTTTTAAGAAAATGGTAATATCATAATCAATCAATACAAAGAACAGTCACTGCTTTCCACCATAGAAACGGCTTTATAACAACATACCTGAGTCTCACTCCATGTTCTGATTTGAGTGCTCTGAGTTTGCAACTATCTTTCTGACATGTGCACAATAAATTTTACTAAATACTACTTGAGTCATTCATCAGTTTTATTTCAGCCATTTTTGAGCTTTTGACACTTCGCCCATCTTCCTTCCCAGGGGACTGGCGTAATCCTGGTTTGTAGTGAATCGAGGTTACCTTCCGTAATACGGCGTGTCCTTGGGGAGAGCACTGGGCATTGGCATGGGGTCTGGGGGTCCTCGAGGTCACAGCCAGAGAGCGGAGACACCAGCCAAGGCAACGACAGCTCTCTAAAGGTTTGAAGTGACTATGTAAACGTCAGGTTTCAAGGTGACTCTAACACCGACGTGAGCAGTGGCTATTTGAGTCGCCACGATATAAGTAATTGATATCGTTACACAAAAACTATAATAGAACCTGCTTTGCTTTTGGTGTTGGAGCTCAAGTAAAATGCCCACACCACTGGCCTGTGTGTCTAAGTTTCATGAAGCAGCGCTCGGCACATCATCACGCCGCGTGGGAACGTCGGGATCGCTGAAATCGAAAACTACTGTTTGGCCTGAGTCCAGCTATTATTAGCAAGGTATTCCAAACTGAAATGTTAATTCCTTCCCTTTTTGAAGACAGTACTTTGCTTTTCCGTTTATGCTGCACATTTTTAAGAGGTCGGAGATGCATAGGTTCAGTTCGAAGATATTAGTTTAAGAAAATCAACGCACGCTTTGAGAAGTAGGTGATTTCAGGTGTGAGGCTGCAACTTAGAAGACGAGCGTGGACAATCTCGTCGTGCTAACGTGCCAGGAAGCACGCGGAAACTGCCAGAGGCACGGCAGAGGACCCAGCACCCATCAAAGTGGGCCTCGTCTGCCCAAAGAGGGGCGATCTGAGCATCAGTAAGGATAATGGGAACTGTGGCGGACTGAAACATACACAGCGCGTGTAAACTCACGAGATCGCCACGAGGCTTAAAACCCCACAACGCACACCACACTGATCACTTTGGGACGACGTAGGGAACGACTCATAATCCTGAAAAGAGAGAATTATGCTTGTATCCTGTCTTTCCTACAGGAATGGTGTGTCAGTCACCAATCAGCGGATGAGAAAAGTTAGTCTTTGTGTAAGTATTCCAGCAACGGATGAAAAAACCATGTTAAAATGAGATATTGCCATTTTGACACCTCTGATGAATTAATAAATCTAGTCAATGATTATCCATGGCAGCTAATGTCACAAAAAGAGATAGGCGGACACTAAGTATCTCTTAATAGAAGTGTATTAAGTCACTTACTATGTAGTTTTGCCAGAATATCAAATCTGAACCTGAATAAGCTCTAGATCTATCATTTCAAGGTACACAAGAGACCTCAAGGATCCTCAGCGATGTAAGCAACAAAATTTAGACTACAGGAATAAACGACCCCCACAACAGTGTTCTTCACCCCCAAATATGCAAGAGTAGGAACTGGAGATTCGAGAAGACCAAAGAGACTCATCAATCAATCACAATACATAAATGCCACTAGGCTCCTCGTGCAAATGAACGAGCTGTAAACATTACAAGATGACCAGAAAATTGGAAACAGTGACTCGACGTTTGATATTAAGAAATTATTATCATTTTTTTCTAAAATAGTGATATTAAGATTATTTTTACATTTTACGTGATATACCACAGCCCTCCCAGCTTGCTCTTATCACACTGGCTATCAGTCCTCACAGCCGGAACAGATGCGTGATAATTTTCATTCAGTTTTAAGAACCAAATGAATATTCTCTGCCATTTATCCAGCAGTATCCTGAAGACAGTGCTCACGTAGCCCCAGAGTTCAGTAAATATTTACGTGTTCCTATTTTAGAGGTACAATCTGAAATAGTACAGGACGAAATGATATGCTATCTGGGATAAGATTTTTTACTGGTGGGTGAGGGCAGTAGATGGAGTTTAGAAAACATAAGATTGGTCATGAGTTAGTCACTGTCGGATCTGGGTGATGCACACGAAGAGATTCATTAAAACGCTTTCTCCTTTTGAATATGTTTGAAATTTCGCATCATAAAAAATTTTAAAAAGAATAATGTGAAAACACCCTGAAATAACAAAAGGAGACAAACTAAACACACCAAATCTTGGCCTCGGTAACAAAATGCCGACAGTGGTCAGATGCTAAATTCAAACCTGACTTTCAAATGGGGACCGACCGTCCAACTGCTCAAAACTGGAATTCAAAGGTGTTGGAAGCCTCTGGACCCACAGCTTGTGGTCTTTTACAAGCACAGCCCTGCAGCGCACTGACCTACCTCCCCACCACAGGGAGCATCTCTACGGGGCTGATGGATTAGCAGCGGGTCAAAGGGCCCGTGGGAACGGCGTTGAGCTGGACACACACAGGACGAGTATCAGCCACTGTTCTGGGAATTGTCCTCTGGCCTCGTAGCCGTACTCATAACACGGGACATGCCTGGTTAATCTGTTTCATCTCATAAGCCAGCAGCACACACTATTTTTTCCATATTCTTAAAACTTTGATTTGGATCTTACATACGCTTAGCTCTGGGATGACATGTGCAATCGCTTCAGGATACCACTGATTGAATAGCAGAGATATTCATGTGGCTCTTAAAATTGAGTACGAGTTATCGAACACCGGATCCAGCTATGAAGGCCGATAGCCGATGAGCAGAGAGGGCAGTGGGATATTTTTTCCCCTGAAAAGAATGCACAGCTCAAACGTGCTCGGTCAAAGACGGCGAGGGTCAGCCAGTCCTAATGGTTCAAACAGATCATGTGGAATCTTTACCACGTATTTTACGCTCTGCACGCCTCACGGTACATCATTAACCCATTTCCAACAGGGGCAACTGGTCTTCGGAACCTTTGTATACACGGAGGCTGCTACTCGCCGCTTAATATAATAGTAAAAAAGAAGGTAGGAATCCAAATATATCGGACCAAGTTCTAGGGAGCTGGGGAGGTGATAATAAAACCAACAAAACCCGTTTTTGTCAGAACGTTTCCACGGAGACAAACTGAATACTATGAAGAAAACAACGTCAGCAACCTAATATCCTTCGAAGTTTACATCAAAGATTCATATTTTCTAAAAATTCTTCTCTAATATTCCTTTTATAATAATCCTTCTGTTATTCTGCATTCACTTAAGTCTTTGCAACTACAGTCTTGTCATCAATTTTTATATGCTCTTCTCTAATTATTCAGCGTTCTTCAAATAAATATGCATATCGAATCTTACAAAGGGCAAAAAATGAGCTTTTAATCACCCCATGCTGTGAAACAGAGGCACCCAAAAAGCCTTTGTTAGAGGAAGGAGGGAAAGAAAGACGGAAGAGAGAAATGGAGGAAGAGAAGGCAGACCAGCCAGCATATGTAAGTCCAAAGGCTGAAATATTACATTATTGCTCAAGCTCTGGTTCGCATTAAAGAGTACTTCTGAGACTAAATTTAAAGACAAATCTTTAATCTAAATTGAACATATTTATAGTTTGTACAATTAAGATAAATGAATGATTAATACTATGGGGCCTATAGTAAATAAAGTATAATAATTCAAGTAACTTGGTACAACTATTAAAATATGAACTAAATGACCAACGAACCTTAACTAAAATGTTATCACAACTTCACAATCATTTCTTCTTTAATACACTTTATGATTCTTTCCAAGGTATTTTTTTTTTCCGCCAAACTAAAAATGCTTTAGTCAGATGTTTGATAATAGGTGTATAAGTGACAGATCAATTCACCCACTTCAATGACATTTGTTAACTAGTGATACATAAATTACCTCTGAGTAGCTGGGTGAGAGATACTTCCCATTGCATTTGGCAACGCTCCTCAGAATTTTTAAGGCTTTATCTCCTTCCTTCCGAGTAATCAGCCAGCGGGGAGATTCAGGAACCACCCTGGCAAGAAGAAAGCATTTTTTGAGCTATGAGTAGAAATTTCAAAACTTAAACTTTTACGACTTGAGTTTCTCTATCAAAATGGATCTTGCAATTAAATAAGAGTTTAGGAGAATCCGAGAGTTTGGAATAAGCTCTCAGAAACATAGATTATCTTTGCAAGTTTATTCTGGAAGGAAAAAACTGCTCCCTTGATAATAGGATCATAGCTCATAATAAAAATAATTAATATGACATTGCTCTTGTGAGACCAGGCTCTCCTAGAATACAGTGTCCTCAGTTACACATATGAAAAGACCCAAGAGTTGGTTAGCATTCAAGAAAAGATTAAGAACCCAATTTATGTAGTGATTTGCCCATATATTAAAATTAAGGTAGACAAATGATTAAAACATATTCACTCCATTAAAAGTCAAATGCTTTCTGAGAGGTTAATTTTCTCATGCTCTTAACATTTTCTTATTCCTCGGGGAACTCCTCAGCAATATTAATTCGCTTAATGGAACATACAGAGAAGCAAATCCATTTCGTTGCATTAATTTTGTATGTTGACGCACTAGCAGATAGGGTTTTTTTCTTTTGCCTTGTAGTTTTCATAAAGATATTACAAAATAAAAACATAATTAATACTCATTTAGAGTTTTGCGTTTGGGTATTTTGTTAATTTATTTTAATGACAACTATTAGTCACATAATCAATGAATAATCTCTATTTTCAGGTTCTTTAGAAATTCTTAAAGCCCACAGTCATTCTGGAGATGTTAGAAAATCTCTTTTATTGTTTTCATTTTCATGTTGGTTTAGAAGCACAGATTCCAGATTTCTGTGGAATAAGAATAAATTTGATAATGGCCCAAACCACATTACCAGTAATAAAGGAGAAAGAGGAAGTTGGGCAGCGTTATGGCCAGCTGGATCCCCTGCCAGTTGGGGATAAAGTAGGCAATTCCAGGGAGAATTATGATTCCAAGGGTGAAGAACATCTGAATCACAATTCCCACAATCCTCCTTTGCTTCGAACCCACGATCTCTGTCACTGAAGATAAACAAACATGAAGGTTAAGGAACCTCGAGATCAGCTCCAAACTCAGCGAACAGATGTAGCACCTGCTGCGTCCACCAGCATCACTGGAATACTACAGAAGCCTTCGCTATCCCAGGCTTCCCACACACGCTCACGTGACGGGATGTGCTTCCCAGATGACTTAACCATGTGCTTTCCTCGGCTCTCTTCTCTGCCGACTAACGACTAGCATTGGCACGCTCCTCTTACCTACCCAGCCCAGCATTCTTCTGGGTGCACAAAGAACGTATGCATTGGTTTTAGGAAAGCTTCAATGATGACTATTTTAAAAGGTCATTGTAATGATGAAAACGTCAGTATGATAAACTGGTGAGGTTTTATCACCTGTCTTTAAAGATTTGCATATTATAGAATCTTTAGGAGATTAATTATGAACATCAGACTCTACAAATAATTAGCAATTGATAGCTTCTATCAAATGCTAATTCTCTCCACAGTGTTGGACTTTTCATGTATGTGATATTTCTTTAAAAATCACATGCAGAATTTCATTGCTGGTACCCTTTCCTTTGCCTCCCTCCCCCACTAATCAGTTTCTATCTGTCACCAATTCTGCTCTGATCACCCCAGGATATGCTACTTTATTGCCGCCCTAAGATCACGACTTTGAAAATTCACTAGATTTGGGTCTCCTTAAAAATGCTTCATATTCCAGAGTTATCCCATCTGCCCCAGCCAGTGATAGTCAACCTCCCCGGCACTCCCTCTCCTTCCCCACCCATAAAAAGTTCTCCGAAGGGTCTCCAAAGAAGACACTGCTTGGGAGGGATGGCCGAGCAGGAACAGAAGAGAGTGGAAGCCCACAGATCTAGAGTGGTAATCAAAGAAAAGAAGCATTCAAATTTCTGTGGTCAAGAAGCCACATACGTGGCCAGTCCCAACACCACTGGAAAAAGAGCCAACACTAGCAGCCGAGACTTTCCCAGTAACACGAGCAAAAAGCAAAGGGAAGGTTTTCTTTCTTTTATACTCAGAAGGTCAAACTTTCTAGTAAAAAACTAGCAAAAATTCACAAATGAACTTCTCATTTTCAGGTTGCATCCCCTGCTTGGTGAAAAGTTCTTCCACTTATCCAAAAGGATAAGAATGTCACCTTATCCAAAAGGATAAGACTGTCACCTTAAACTAAATCACAAAAATACACAGAAAATTCTTTTAGAATGTTTGAAGGAATTATTGACATTTTAATAAAAATTAATCTCTAATAAAGCAAATCAAAAAATGTGATGACAGTATATCAGTGCTAGAAAGTGATTCACCTCAGTATTTTGTAACATTCCATATTTGGTCCCAAAAAAAGGAGGCACTTTAATTTCTAAAGAGTCAGAATCTTGCCCCTGTCCCTCCCATTTGCAGAAATAATTACTGTTGTAGCAAAGAAGCCTCACCATACTTGCGTGGGGAAGGCTAACTAGCTGGCTCTGCTCACCCATCTAACTCCGGTTCTCAAACAGACAAGGAGGCGTAGTGATGTCTCACCAATTACGTAAGAAGTCATCCATGTCCCCTTTCCAAACACGCCTTGTAAGAAGCGGAAGACCACAAACACGGGGAAATTTGGTGCAAATGCCACCACCACGCCAGTGACGCCGACACCGAAACAGGATATCAAGTAAATGACTATTCTGCCGTACCTTTCAAGAAAAAGAGAAGAGATCACCTTAAACATTTTCTTCAATACAATGGAAAAGACTATTTGTAAGTGTCATTAAAGGTGGTGTAAGTACGACATGTTGTCCTCCGTAACTTCGTCTTTACCATGTAAAAGATTGCCAAAAAGTCTGTGTTTTGTTTTATATCAAACCAGAGCAAATAAAAACACGTGCCTCTGAAATGACGTAAAATTTAAAGCACAGAATGCATCCTTTGGGGTTGCAGTTTTCAAAAAGATGACCCTCTCTATGACAACTGTTTTTTCACATATGATCTCCCTGGTGGTACAGCTTTGACACTTCCTAGCATTTTTGTGGGTCGAGTCAGAAAGAAAAAGGGATAAAAAGAAGCAGCAATGGACATTACAGATAGAAAGCCTGGGCTCCACCATCCACCAAGCACATGACTCTGGGCAAATTTCTTTAGTTCGCCAAGACTTGGGTTTTATTTGCTCACTTGTGTTTTGTTTTTATACGTTGGTTTTTTTTTTTTTAACCTTTCTACAATGAGGTTGCAGAGAGAATCAAATGAGATGCTAATGTGAAGGCTCTTTCTAAATCATAAAGTTCACAACTGACGTGAGTTGTTCTTAAGTTTTGTATTTTTATTTTCACCATTTACATAATATGATTAAATGGATTGGGAGGAAGGAACAGGGTATTGTGTGCGACACATCCGAGAATCTGATATTAAATGGTTCAGTACAGTTGTGCCAAATTATTGGCTGGCGAAAGCATGTCCTCAATGACTTTTAAGAGATTTGATTTGATGGCACTTTTCATAGAAATTTTCACCAAATTCACACATATGACATCTTGCTTCAGTCAGCAGAGTGGAGATAGAAGTAGCCTTGGTTTACCTGGTTTTTTAAATCCACTCTCTGCCCTCCCTTCCCTGTCCTCTCACAGATAATGTGGCCTATGAAATTGTTTCTTGTCCTTTCCTTCAATGGAATAAAGAAGAGAAGGTGCTGAATGGTTGGCCCCGGGTGAAGCAGAATTATCCGTGGGTCTGCTTCCCTCGACACCGACACCACACACTGCCCCTCCTTTAGCTGAGTTCCTTTAGTTTGAAAACCTGTTTATTGACGGTGAAAGGGAAACACGCAGAAGAAGCAGAGCCTAATGTTTTCATTAGGAAGAGTAACCACAAAATTAAAGCCATACATATTGAGAATCTATAACTCAATTCCAAATCGTAGCCAGCTGGGGGAGAAAGGGCTACGTGGGGGAGATTAAGAAAGAAAAGATTAATTGAAAAGGCTAGAAGCAGAAATAACAGAAAAGGACGCAGGTAAAAAGAGAGGAAAAGGGGAGAAAGAGCATCAGACACAAAGGATTAAGGAGAAAGCCACGTGCAGAGGAGGAAGGGAGGGGACGGCAAGAAAAAATGAGACGGATGACGGGGCAGAAAAGGAAGCAAAGGTTCTACCCATGTTAGAAGTTCTGTTTCGTATCTAGTAGTTAATGATGCATTTTTTTTATTTTCTTATCAAGACGAGGTTTAAAATTTTTGTTCTGACCTATATATCACATTCTTTTCTCTCACCATTAAAATGGTGATATCCCACATATTAGTCTGAAATTCAGAACACTCAACAAAGTGGAGTTTGCTTATCCATTTGAGTTCATTTTGTTTGTTTGTATATTTTTTAAGCACCACCTGTGTGGTAGGAAACACTGCATTAAGGATTAATTTGCATTATCTCATTTGACCTAAACAACGCTATGAGGTAAGTGTTATTTTCTCTATTATCAGCAGGTTAAAAAAAAATTCAGTATAGAGAAGTTAATTAATTGACACGACATCGTCCTACTAATAGAGGAGCCAGTATCTGAAAGGTAGGAAGTCCATTAATAACTAATTAAATCCTAAAAACTTCTAATAAAACCCAGGAACTTGTCAAGGAATTTTCAAAAGTTCACTGGAAAGACAAAAATCACAGGATTAAAGAAAGAATGACAAAATGTTTATAATTCCACATTTCTTTTTACAAGTACATATTTTTAATTGTTATTATAACAGAATTTAAATGTATGTCTATAAATTAATAGGTTGCTATCCTCTCTTGACTCAGCCATTTACCATGATTTTACAGAAGTTTTACAATTATTTGTAATATTTTTATAATAGTCCATTGTGTTGATATAGCTGTCTTTATTTTCCTTAATATAAGGCTTCTGAGGTTTTTCCTTCCTAATGTTTTCTTATATTCTATTACAAATAAAGATATATTGGATAAAAAAAAATACCCATTTTAAAGTCCTGGTCTAGTCAAACTCAGATTATCAGTTGGCTATAGAATTTGAGGCATTTTATTGTCTTGAATTAGTTCATTAATTGCTGTCAGCAGGTCTCTAAGAGGTACCCTTAGCACTGCCCACTGCGAGCATGTCACAGCGACCTGCCCAGGCTGGGCTAGAGTGATCGTAGCATTATTAAGCCAGATGTGGCCAAGGGCCAAAGTTTCCCTATTTTTGTCTTCAGGGGTATAGAATTATCAACTTACAACAGTATTTTCATCGTTAGAATTGGGACAAAGGAATAGTTAAACACAAACACAACTAACATCAAAAATATCTAAAACAGGAATAACTGAATAGAAAGCATGACCATCTTAAATATACAGATTCGCTGCGTCTGCCACTAACTAGTATATTTATGAACACTAAATAATAGATAAAACTCTTAATGGTTTTTGATAAAACTTTTTTTCACAGAGTTTTCAATCTGTAGGATAAAATACAAGGATTTTAAAAAATTAAACGGAACTAATTCGGAAGGGGCTGGCCTATGACTAAATTATTCAGATCACAACCAGTGAGTTATTGAAGCACCCAGAATCGACCCCGTAATGTCTGGCCAGCCGTCTGTCTACCACACGAAGAAGCCACCTTGCTGGTCTGGGTTTCCACTCAGATGCTTTTAGGGCCACCGAGGGCATCCCATCCATTGGTCTGGTTCGAGGATAAAGGAGACGTAGTTTAAGGAGGAAATAATTCACCCAATTAACCACGGTGAATGTCGCGAGTAGAGGAACTGACATTGTTTTCTGCGTGTAGTAAGAATATTTTTCTAATAGTTAACATAAAACATTTTCATCTCTACACATACATGTTGTATTATAGGTTGTCATATTGGTGCTTACCTGTCTGCCGCATAGCCTAAGGTGAACGCTCCAGCCAGGAAGCCTAGGTTTAGGATGGCTTGCGTGAGGTCCAGCATCCAGGCATTGACACACACGAGGTCAAACTGAGAAAACAAAGACACGCACAGGTGACACGTGGCAAGGCTCATCCCCAAGACCTCCGATCTTAGCTTTTGTCTAGATCGCTGATCTTTAAATATGGTTGCTCATATACTCTTTACATAAATTTTTAAAATCTATCACGTGCATATTTTTATATTGATTTATAAATACTTCCTTCACAAGTTTCAATAACGGCCAAGGGTACCATTTCGAGTATGCTATAAATACTGACATTTTCAAATAATGTTGAACATCGTTTGTTCAGCTATAGCTAATAGAGTCTAAATACCACAGCCGTTTGACACCTACCATCATGCAGTAAAAACAAGGTCAATTCTCTAAAATTTGCCATTAATCTTTTTTCCCTTTGAATTCTTATTTTCATTCTTATATACTTAAGTCCTAATATTTTATGTGTTAATGTGTATTGTGTTAATGGTGAGGTAAATAAACATTATTTAAATTGTTTATTTATGTGTTTTATATTACTTATGTTTACTTCCCTCACCATACTTTTATGTGTAATAAATTATGTATATAAATTAACATTTAATTAAAATTTTTCCTAACTACTTAAAAATTTAGTCTCTAAATATGAGAATTTTTTCTGATCAGGTTATAATTACACTTACTTTTAGACAAAAATTGATAAAAACATAAGATACAATGAATTTTGAAAAAGCATTATTACGCAGGAGTAAATATTTTTGGAAATGCACCTTTAGAAGAATGTTAAGAAAGTGGGTGTTTTCTAGATAGTTCATGTAATTTGTGGGTGAAGATTTATTACGAGAGCAAATTAGGGCTCAACATCAATTCTATTCCTGCTTTTCATTCTTATAAATTTATGTGCCAAGAAAATGTGTCTGTATAAAAAACTAATGGGAATGGAGAGAGTTTGGTCACAACAATGTCACTCGATTCTTCTGCTTCCTTCTCGCTCGTTTGTCAGATTCACATAGCAATCTATCCTCAGAATTATTTTTACTTTTCTGTTAACCAACACACCATTTCAGTCTGCCTACGATCTTGCTGTAAGGAAAGAAATGGAAACCAGACTTACAAAAATTTGTTTAATCAAGTCATTAAGGTCATTTATTTTCTTAATTACTTTCTTAATATAAAACCACTATTACAAATTGTCCCACTGCTTAGTTCCCATGGGTCATAAAACCCCAGGTCAGTTAATCACAGTGAGAGGACACTTTGCAAATAGTCGATATTAAAATAAAATTAATTAATGATAAAATGTCTAAATGTAGGATGTGTCCTCATCATACATATGTTCTCCGGCAGATCCATTGGGAACATATGTGAGTTGAGGCTCTGAAAACGGATTCCCTTTAAAGGAATCCCCTGTGATCTCCTGTGATCAACTCTGCATACCTCCAAATGGCATGCCTACCCTCGCAGGCTACTGCGTTAGATTGTAGCATGAAGACAAAATGAATGTTGTCGGAACAGGAATTGTGAGTAGTCTCATAAATACATATCCATAAGCAAGCTCATATTTATTTATAGAACTCAACTCTTGCCTTGGTTCCACAGTTAATGAATGACCTGTCACCTAACAAAGCCAGGGAAAGAAATTGGGGGGCAGGGGGAGCAGTAGTAGCTGGCTCATCTCCAGAGCTTCTGACAAGATTAATGGAGATTCAAGAGGTTCAAACATTTACATATATGTATAATAGTAGTGATTGTGGTAATTTAAAAGAGTTTACTGGTTTCTCAAGGCACAACTTTATTCTAAGTTAATTTGCAGATGATTATTTATCTGAAATAATTTCCCATTGGAATGAAACATGTAAACAATGCAACTAGAATAAAAGTACCTAAAATCTCAGTAAGCGAAGAGGCGATCTAATTGCCAGAGAAAACATTTGTGTCTGAAGAACACCAACCGGGGTCAGATATAAACACCCAAAGATTAGAATTTGCTCCCTCCAGCTCTACTTCAGATAACTGGGTTAGTTAAGGACACGGGCATGCTTGTCACAGACGACACGCAAGGCCTAGCGAGACCCATCATTTTAATGCATTTGTTCAGCTGCTTTTAAATTGTGTGAGTTAAAATGCCCTCCCAAATATTCTCTAAAACCACAAAATATTCTTTAACGTAAAACCATTTACCGTTTTCAGTCCCGTAAGAGAAACTGTCACAAGGATCTTTTCATACTTCATGTTAAAATAAAATTAATTAATGATAAAATATCTAAGTGATTAAAATGCCATAACTTAACATTTTCTAAAGTACTACGATGCCGTCTAAAGTACTCTGAGGGCCACATATTGTCTGCCCTCTGTGCTTTGTTCTGCATCTCAGGAGCTAGAGCTGTGGAAACTACATTTCCCAGAATCCTTTGCTAGCAGGATTCTGTTTAGGTTCCACAAGTACTGGGGCCTAGTACAAGATCAGAAGGCAGGAAGGAGGTAGTGGGGATTCTGCTTCTAGCTGTGGGAGCAGGTCCAGCTCCAATCCGCTGCCAGTGACAACAGCAGTCGGTGACTGCAGAAGCCAGACAATGCTTATAACCAGTACCAGCCACATGGGGGCAAAGAGACAAGGGCCGACGGGTTCTGTACTGCAGTGCAGCACATCGGGAGCTTCTGCATGAACTGTCTCCTCCCCTTCTTGCTTTTCCAGCCCTTCCAAATCAGCTCCAACCCAAAAACCCTTTTATTAAGTCCCTTTCTTCTCAAAATACCTAGCCTGACTTCGGTTTTTGTGACTGGAGCCTGCCATCTTTTAAAAGTATAAAATAAATTATGTACCTGTAAAGAAATACGCACACACACACACACTCATGTTTCTAATATAGGGAACAAACACTGCAGTCTCAAGGATGCAAAGGCTTGGTTCTGACCCTTAGTCACAGGGCAAGGAGGCAGGTGGACGCTTCCTGGTCTACCCTGAGCTCGCAGCCTGCGAGGCCTGCTCTCCCCACAGCTCTCGGTCTGCAATAAGAGAGGTCAGCAGACACTGAAGCCAATGAGTGTCACAGGCTAAGGCCCTTCCCCGAAATAAAGAACTAGCGACTTGTTGTAGTCCCAAGGAAGACCTAAAACCATCTCTCGTCAACCTTACCTAAGTCCGAATCAAAGACTCAAGTGTTTACGTCTTTTTCCTGAGGCATTCTATCTAGAACAAGTGAGCTATCTTTTGTTTTCAGTATACACAAGCAAAGAGTTTAAAAATCATTTTTAAATGCTCAGAAATCCATGTGTACCCATTCTGTTCCTTATTAATCCCCCAAATCACTTTTACACAAAGACAATTACGCCCCTTGGCATGAGCAGAAAGCCAATCTGAGAAGGAGACTCAAACAACTGTTTATGTAACGTTGAAAGGATTGTATTGCTTCATTTTGCAGAAAGCCCAACTCTAGTCTAATTAGACACTTTTGAAGGGCTTCCAGCCAAGGGCTTTTCTTAGTTAAAATTCAAATGGACATTACACAAATTTGAGTCATAATGATAAAATGCTGGGGCAAGTTATTACGAGACATATGTTAAAGTTTTGATTTCTAAATTATCCTTAAAACCAGAGCAGCAGAATCTCTCCAATATACAAAAGTTAAAGATAAGAAATAAAGTTAAAAAAAAACAAAAAACAAGTATGCAAGAGACTCAGACACTCAGGAGGGAACTTGCCTGCTCCTTAAACTTTTGGAAGTGGACTCCGATGGCTGGCAGCTGGCTTTTCCACAGAGGCCTTGTTCGGCCCTCTTGAACGAACTCTCGTATAAGAGACTCTAAGCTTAGAGGATGTTGCCATACTTGGCTCGGTCAATCATGGCCATCAGAAGTCGTACTCATCATTGTATCGTTGTGGAAGCAGAGAAGCCTCTGAAGTTAAATGACAAGGTCTAAGTGCCTCCGCTTTGATTTTTGAAGGATGAATGGAAAACCGAACCACTTCTAATCAGCTCTTAGTCAAAATCAGTAGCCACGAAACTCTTTATCAGTGTTAAAAACTTCGCTCACACCTCTGGTCTGACCCTCAGGTGTGGGGTGCCCCTGGCTGCATTTACCATTGGCCAAATCACTTTCCCCTGTGGACCTCCATGAGAAGGTTCCATTTCAAATTAACAAGACACCATAATGGAGCCTAAGAATGGTTAAAATTTATTGTAACCATAAAGAAAGTAATTAGGATCGGGTCTCCATGAGGGAAAAGGATTTCATCACTACTTCTAATCATAATAGAAATGTCTTTAACATGATCCGATGGCATCGTCTGGGCACCTTAATTTAACATCAAAAGTTAATGCTTCTCTGTTCTGCAAGACCCATCACGATGAGCTTCGGGTATAAAAACTAACCACCAGGCATTTACGGATAGCTTCCCCTAGTGTCGTCGGCGTAACGCCAGCAGCATGACTGTGGAGTGTAGAGCAGTCAGACACACAAAAAAGGTGGAGCATAAACAGATCCTCCAACAATAAGCTAGATTTAGAAGGAAAACAAAATGGAGAAGAAAGGTATTCGAGCAGTGTGATGGGCAGCCCAGCACAGCCAGGAGCGAGAATGCCACCGAGGTTCAGATCCGCCTGCAGCTGGTGGGGCACCAAGCTGAGATTTTAAGCCGAGAAACCACTTGTCTCCATTCTGCCCAGTGGGGGACGGGGTGAGGTCCAGGGCGTGGGGTGGTGAGTTTCCGACTCAGGAAACCAGTGACATCAAGACAGCTCGGGGCAGAGGGAGGAGGAAGGTCTGAAGGAAAGAGGAAGCATCTGGAAGGTTGCAAATGGAGAGGTCCAGGGCAGATGTCCTGGCCCCGGAACAAACAAGATTCCAGGGACATGAGAGCGAGTCGGAGAGATGGGGAGGAAACCGAAGAGTCTGCAATGATCACCTAGGACAGGGCGACTTCACCTGGCATAAAGAGGCACCGTTACGTGATAAGAGGCTTAAGAAGCTCACTGTCACGTAGGCCGTTCTCCAAGGTTAACGAAAGCCAAGCTTTAATGTGCAGTAAAACAAATGAACTCTGAAATACGATGGAGAGATG